TACACACACTTCTTTCAAGTGTGTATGTATTATCTGTATGTCACTCTCATGACTTGTTTGCATGTACACTTCTCAAGTCTGTATGTATTATCTGTATGTCACCCTCATGGCTTGTTTACATGCACACTTCTTTCAAGTGTGTATGTATTCTGTGTATGTCACCCTCATTACTAATTTGCATGCACACTTCTTTCAAGTGTGTATGTATGCCATGTTGTTCATCCGTATCGTCTGCGCTCGTATGCCACGTGCAAGTTTGTTCTCCGTAAGATTGTACGTAGCGCTGCTTTCATATGTTTAGTTTATTCTGTTGTACTACGATCAAATGCCTTGAGAAAATTTCGTTGATTGCCAGGCAGGAATAGATACAACACAAAAGGATGCCTGAACATTAAAGTTGGAGTGGCGCATATACACAGATGGTACCATTGCTCAGTATAATTCTACTTAAACGTCTACTTTCCGCTGGTACGACGCAGCCATACACTTCCTTGTTCCCACCCATACTCTTCAGTGGTCTCAGCGATTACTTAGTATTGGCTGGCCCGTAAGGCGGGGTATAGCCCTGGAATGAGGGCCAATACTATATATATATATTCATTCGCATACATAGTTTGCAGATATTTTAGCTATGTTTTTGTCCTTGTTTCTTTTAGCTTTGTTTTACTCAGTAGTCTAACGGAGGTGTGTGGGGTTGTGGTTGTTGGAGGCGTCTCAGTCTCACACCCGGCACGCCATACAGCCTCCGCTCATCGCTGTCTGTGCATGATGTATGATATATGTCATGTATGTGCATGATGTATGATGTATGTCATGACATGATTATATATATATATGTGAGCGCATAAAGACGATGTGTATAGGTGTATGACACACTTCAGGTCCACCTTAGGGACACCATAGTGCTATAACAGGATAGAGTATATAGGTGTTTTAGTAACACCATAGTACTATAACAGGATAGAGTATATAGGTGTATAAGTAACATCATAGTACTATAACAGGATATCGGTATATAACACACTTTGTAAGCAACTTAATAACACCATAATACTATAACAGGATAGAGTATATAGGAGTATAACACACTTCAGAAGCACCTTAGCAACACTTAGTGCTATAACAGGACAGCCCCATGAGGGTCTGCAGTGTGTAAAGCCATCAAGTAAAACCAAAAACATCACATATCGTGAGTACAAGCATATCGTGAACGCAAGTGAAATGGTTCACGACGATCTGCAGGTTGGAGTGATGTTGAGGGCTTCTTAGGATATATATATATATATTCTTAGGATATATATATATATATATATAATTTATTTACACATGTTTTATAGTAATTCACATATGCTTTATAATATTTTACACACGTTTTTCTGTGTCCACCGTCGGCATTCGACAACGTCCCCATCCCAGTTGCAGTATGATCACCGGTGCCGCACCTAATACAAGGCACAGTGTATACTGAATACCCGCCACACACATACAACGTGTGGGTGCGGGTCTATCGGTCCCTTTTTATTGTCCTTAGGTGCAGGCGTCGCAGTGTCTCGGTATGACCGGCGACCTTCATCAGACGCACCGAACCCCTTGCCATTACTTACTAAGCTGTACACCGATCCTAACCCTAAAACCCTAAAACCGGATACAGTGGTGCACTCGCCCCTGACTGGACTGAAAACAGTATCCATTCCGGTGTGTGAGAATGAACTGAAGACTTCCCCACGCCTACGTCTGTGCTACGTCGTAGTAGTCAAACCGAGCACCCTGATCAAAGGTATCCTGGACCACAATCTGCACCATTCTTTCAGCCGAGGTCATTGGATCAACGACCATTCCCTGCGAAAAAAGACGTGGAACACGTGAACGAATTGCCATAGATAAGCAACAGAATAGTATATATATATATATGTGTGTGTGTGTGTGTGTGTGTATGTGTGTGTGTGTGTGTGTGTGTGTGTGTGT